TATGAAAAGAGTTCCTTTCACTAAAATAATATAATGTTACAAGTAATTTGTTGCTTCGCGTCCGATCGCGAGAGTCCAGATAGAGAACCTAGCATTAGACTGTGCAGGAATATGAAAAGAGTTCCTTTCACTAAAATAATATAATGTTACAAGTCATTTGTTACTTCGCGTCCGATCGTGAGAGTCCAGATCGAGAACCTAGCATTAGACTGTGCAGGAATATGAAAAGAGTTCCTTTCACTAAAATAATATAATGTTACAAGTAATTTGTTGCTTCGCGTCCGATCGTGAGAGTCCAGATCGAGAACCTAGCATTAGACTGTGCAGGAATATGAAAAGAGTTCCTTTCACTAAAATAATATAATGTTACAAGCCATTTGTTGCTTCGCTTCCGATCGTGAGAGTCTAGATCGAGAACCTAGCATTAGACTGTGCAGGAATATGAAAAGAGTTCCTTTCACTAAAATAATATAATGTTACAAGTCATTTGTTGCTTCGCGTCCGATCGCGAGAGTCCAGATAGAGAACCTAGCATTAGACTGTGCAGGAATATGAAAAGAGTTCCTTTCACTAAAATAATATAATGTTACAAGTAATTTGTTGCTTCGCGTCCGATCGCGAGAGTCCAGATAGAGAACCTAGCATTAGACTGTGCAGGAATATGAAAAGAGTTCCTTTCACTAAAATAATATAATGTTAAAAGTAATTTGTTGCTTCGCGTCCGATCTCGAGAGTCCAGATAGAGAACCTAGCATTAGACTGTGCAGGAATATGAAAAGAGTTCCTTTCACTAAAATAATATAATGTTACAAGTCATTTGTTGCTTCGCGTCCGATCGTGAGAGTCCAGATCGAGAACCTAGCATTAGACTGTGCAGGAATATGAAAAGAGTTCCTTTCACTAAAATAATATAATGTTACAAGTCATTTGTTGCTTCGCGTCCGATCGCGAGAGTGCAGATAGAGAACCTAGCATTAGACCGTGCAGGAATATGAAAAGAGTTCCTTTCACTAAAATAATATAATGTTACAAGTCATTTGTTGCTTCGCGTCCGATCGCGAGAGTCCAGATAGAGAACCTAGCATTAGACTTTGCAGGAGTATGAAAAGAGTTCCTTTCACTAAAATAATATAATGTTATAAGTAATTTGTTGCTTCGCGTCCGATCGCGAGAGTCCAGATAGAGAACCTAGCATTAGACTGTGCAGGAATATGAAAAGAGTTCCTTTCACTAAAATAATATAATGTTACAAGTCATTTGTTGCTTCGCGTCCGATCGCGAGAGTCCAGATAGAGAACCTAGCATTAGACTGTGCAGGAATATGAAAAGAGTTCCTTTCACTAAAATAATATAATGTTACAAGTCATTTGTTACTTCGCGTCCGATCGTGAGAGTCCAGATCGAGAACCTAGCATTAGACTGTGCAGGAATATGAAAAGAGTCCCTTTTACTAAAATAATATAATGTTATAAGTCATTTGTTGCTTCGCGTCCGATCGTGAGAGTCCAGATCGAGAACCTAGCATTAGACTGTGCAGGAATATGAAAAGAGTTCCTTTCACTAAAATAATATAATGTTACAAGCCATTTGTTGCTTCGCTTCCGATCGTGAGAGTCCAGATCGAGAACCTAGCATTAGACTGTGCAGGAATATGAAAAGAGTTCCTTTCACTAAAATAATATAATGTTACAAGTCATTTGTTGCTTCGCGTCCGATCGCGAGAGCCCAGATAGAGAACCTAGCATTAGACTGTGCAGGAATATGAAAAGAGTTTCACTAAAATAATATAATGTTACAAGTAATTTGTTGCTTCGCGTGCGATCGCGAAGGTCCAGATAGAGAACCTAGCATTAGACTGTGCAGGAATATGAAAAGAGTTCCTTTCACTAAAATAATATAATGTTACAAGTCATTTGTTGCTTCGCGTCCGATCGCGAGAGTCCAGATAGGGAACCTAGCATTAGACTGTGCAGGAATATGAAAAGAGTTCCTTTCACTAAAATAATATAATGTTACAAGTCATTTGTTGCTTCGCGTCCGATCGCGAGAGTCCAGATAGAGAACCTAGCATTAGACTGTGCAGGAATATGAAAAGAGTTCCTTTCACTAAAATAATATAATGTTATAAGTCATTTGTTGCTTCGCGTCCGATCGCAAGAGTCCAGATAGGGAACCTAGCATTAGACTGTGCAGGAATATGAAAAGAGTTCCTTTGCTTCGCGTCCGATCGCGAGAGTCCAGATAGAGAACCTAGCATTAGACTGTGCAGCAATATGAAAAAAGTTCCTTTCACTAAAATAATATAATGTTACAAGTAATTTGTTGCTTCGCGTCCGATCGCGAGAGTCCAGATAGAGAACCTAGCATTAGACTGTGCAGGAATATGAAAAGAGTTCCTTTCACTAAAATAATATAATGTTACAAGTCATTTGTTGCTTCGCGTCCGATCGTGAGAGTCCAGATCGAGAACCTAGCATTAGACTGTGCAGGAATATGAAAAGAGTTCCTTTCACTAAAATAATATAATGTTACAAGTCATTTGTTGCTTCGCGTCCGATCGCGAGAGTCCAGATAGAGAACCTAGCATTAGACTGTGCAGGAATATGAAAAGAGTTCCTTTCACTAAAATAATATAATGTTACAAGTAATTTGTTGCTTCGCGTCCGATCGCGAGAGTCCAGATAGAGAACCTAGCATTAGACTGTGCAGGAATATGAAAAGAGGTCCTTTCACTAAAATAATATAATGTTACAGGTCATTTGTTGCTTCGCATCCGATCGCGAGAGTCCAGATAGGGAACCTAGCATTAGACTGTGCAGGAATATGAAAAGAGTTCCTTTCACTAAAATAATATAATGTTACAAGTAATTTGTTGCTTCGCGTCCGATCGCGAGAGTCCAGATAGAGAACCTAGCATTAGACTGTGCAGGAATATGAAAAGAGTTCCTTTCACTAAAATAATATAATGTTACAAGTAATTTGTTGCTTCGCGTCCGATCGCGAGAGTCCAGATAGAGAACCTAGCATTAGACTGTGCAGGAATATAAAAAGAGTTCCTTTCACTAAAATAATATAATGTTACAAGTAATTTGTTGCTTCGCGTCCGATCGCGAGAGTCCAGATAGAGAACCTAGCATTAGACTGTGCAGGAATATGAAAAGAGTTCCTTTCACTAAAATAATATAATGTTACAAGTAATTTGTTGCTTCGCGTCCGATCGCGAGAGTCCAGATAGAGAACCTAGCATTAGACTGTGCAGGAATATGAAAAGAGTTCCTTTCACTAAAATAATATAATGTTACAAGTAATTTGTTGCTTCGCGTCCGATCGCGAGAGTCCAGATAGAGAACCTAGCATTAGACTGTGCAGGAATATGAAAAGAGTTCCTTTCACTAAAACAATATAATGTTACAAGTCATTTGTTGCTTCGCGTCCGACCGCGAGAGTCCAGATAGAGAACCTAGCATTAGACTATGCAGGAATATGAAAAGAGTTCCTTTCACTAAAATAATATAATGTTAGAAGTCATTTGCCATACTTTTCCATAGCGACAAGAATACTCTCATGTACATGGTACATGGAGATATCGCATGTACAAAATACACGAGCAAATGCACTAACAAGCAACATAACCTAAACAACAAGAGGAGGTGTATGCCCAGCCGTGGGATATATATAATAATTATAATGCTGTAATTTTTTTCTGCATTAATACAAATAAATATGTCTTTAAATGTTACTCCTATCTCACCGTGTCGGCGACAAGGCATATAATTAACCAGTGACGAACTGTGTTTATTCATAAGACTATTATAATTTCCTAATTAGTGTAATTAGCGTGTAATAACTCATATTAGGATATAATTTATAAAGGTTAGCTTTTAATAATAATTTTATAAGGAAGTTAATAATTTAAGCGAAAATTTGTATTGAAAATACTTATAAAAAATTTAAGTTTTGTTTAGCGCTTGGAAATTAGTGTTAAATTAAAGGTTTAAATGTAATGTAATATAAACAAAAAGAACTAAGTAGATCAGACATCTGTTTCGATAAATATAAGATAAAATGTGTAGTAAAAACAACAATTTTGTAGGGTTTTTGTTCTAGAAATTTTATATTTAAGAAATTAATAGCTTATATTTTTATTTTATATTATAGAACAGTACTAGAGAAATCTAACGACGTATAAATTGTAAGGGGTATGTGAAAGTTATAATAAATAAAGGCTCCTAAGGTTTCGGCTTGAAATAAAAACAACACGCGAGACAGGCAAAACCGCATAAACGTCCGTACGGTAACGCCGGTGGGTATAATTTTATACGTGGTAGAGCCATGCTGCAGTTAATATTAGTAGTATAGTTGTAGCACGAATGGGTCGGCTCGACCGGGGAAGGACCACGCTCTCACAGAATACCAGCGTGAAATAGTAGCTTAATGCGGCTGTATTTCGTATGGTGAGGGTCTCGACACCGGAGACCCTTTTTACTGGAAACGAGGCATTCCATCTTAGTCCTCATGGGTGACAACGCATCTGCATTTTGAATCGTAATCGAGGATAGATGTAGATGTCTATGGGCCACAGCAACCACTTACCATCAGGTGCACTGTATGCTCGTTTTCACCTTATCCTATAAAAAAAAGGGTCGAGCCAATTTCGGCTCAAATAGCAGTTGCAGCACAGCCTTCGAAGAGGCAACAACAAGGAAAAAGGAAGCCGAAACCTAAGGAACAAGAAGCTACCTAGGAAAAAAGTTTTTTAATTGCCTCCTCCCGGCTACTCGTCTACTCTCTCTCTCTCTCTCTCGAGTTCCCAATAGGGTCAGGGGTGCGTGGGACGTGCGTAACCAGCACTAAGCAAAGAACGTACGTCATCAAGTGGGAGATTGTCCCAGGGCGACTGTGCGGGCACTGGACGTGTCCCTGCCGTCCGAAACAGTTGGTCCTTCGAAATCCGGTTCCCTGCTAGAAGTATATAGAAGAATCAGAAGATTTCGTTCAAGATGCCAGTCACCAGGTCACAGAAGGATGCCCCCTCACGTCCCGGGTCCCGTCCCTCAGATAAGGACGTGACAGGTGAAATGTCGGGATCTGCGTCAGCGTCAGCATCATCAGGAACAGCAACTAGGTCAGATTCTTCGGGCACTACGACCACAGAGGATACCACCACGACAGAGACCACGGTTGCAACTGCCACCACAGCGGTGTCTGAGGAGAACGGACAGAATGATGAAGCCGCACAGAAGGAGACGACCAAGAAGACTCCAGAGGATATTCCGGACAAGGGCGGTCATGGCTCCGCCACAACCCTTAAGCCAAAGGGGTCAGTCGTCGCGCCAGGTCCATGAAGACCACGAGCTCCTCAGCCAGGAGACGGGAGCTGGAAGCCAGAGAAGAATTATCACGCATGGAGCTAAAGTAAGCCCAAGCTGCGTCGAAGCTAGCCCGCATCAGATTAGAGCTGGCACAGTATGAAGAGGAGGACTCCGTGGATGAAGACCAGGAAGACAGAATAGCACAGATGCAGAACTGGATCGAGACATCAGTAATGGAAGAAAACAACATGGGAAAACACGAGCAACGAGGTCAGCATCCTCCGGAAGAGCCAAATGTGAAGCCTGAAGAGAACTCCTCAACGAAAGATACGAGCGAGATTCAAGCGCTGACAATAGCATTGAAGGAAGCTCTTGCTACAAGAGGAGGACCTTGCCACAGGAGGAGTATCTCAACCAGAGTATATCCACGAGCTACCCTACTTCGATGGCAACAGCAGCGAGTGGTTGGCCTTCAAGGTGGTCTACGAAGATACCACCCCGATGTTGAACGCAGTCCAAAACATGGCTCGACTAAAAAGAGCACTAAAGGGCAACGCAAGAGAAGCTATCAAGAGCCTGCTGTACTCTGAAGCCTCTCCGTTGGAAGTAATGCAGGCCCTTAGGAGACGATATGGAAGACCTGATGCACTGGTGCTGGCTGAATTGGACAAAGTCAGGGCGTTACCGAAGATTTCTGAAAATCCAAGGGATATATGCGTCTTTGCGAGCCAAATCAACAACAGCGTAGCAGCAATAAAGGGTTTGAAGAAACCACAGTACCTACATTCACCTGAAATGGTAAAGTAAATTGTAGAAAAGATGCCCACAATTCTCAAGTTCCGATGGTATGACTTTACTGCAGCAACAGAAGAGGGCGAGTTCTCCGACTCCATTCCTCTGAAGCAGACAAATATGGAGCCTTCGCGACCTCAGAAGAGAAGAGCGGGTTCAGAAGATCTCATCGAAAAGCGACTTATTTTACAAGGGAAAAAGACTTTAAGGAAAAAGATACAAGAAAGTCAACAGAAAATACTTGTCCTATTGTCAAACTGGACACTTCCTCGTCGACTGCCAGAAGTTCCAGAAGACGTTAGTACAAAATCGATGGGCAACAGTAAAGAAAAGTCACGTTTGCTTCAAATGTCTTCAGGGGAAACATCGAAAGGAGAGCTGCAAGAAACCACCATGTAAGGAATGCAAGAGATGGCATCATCATTTGCTGCACGTCGAATCAGAAGACAGGACCTTGGGAGAGAAGAAGGCAGGAACACAAGAAGAAGTAGCAAGCGTCATGACATCGGTGAATGCAGTCAACAACGTAAGGGCATACCTGAAGATAGTTTCAGTAAAAAACTTCGGGCCAAAAGGATCCAAAAGAATATTGCCCCTCGTGGATGAAGGGTCGACAGTGTCGCTTATTGTTGAGAAGGTGGCAGAAGAAGTCGGCGCTCAAGGCAACAGAGAGGAACTGACCATCGAGACAGTAAGAGGCAAGCAAATCAAGAAGAAGGATTCTCAAGCACTGGACCTTGTAGTGAAGGGGGTTCATCAAGGAAGCAAGAAGACCTTGAAGAGAGTCCGGACTATCAACGAGCTGAAGCTTGCACCGCAGTTCCTAGAGAAGAAAAGGATAGAAGAATGCCAACATTTGAAGAAGATCGCTGACTCTCTTTATTACAAAGGGGAATTACCACAGCTGCTCATAGGTCAAGACAACTGGGAGCTAATAGTGACTCAAGAAGTAAGCAAAGGGAAACCAGGAGAATCAGTTGCTTCAAGGACAGGGCTTGGGTGGGTGCTCCACGGATCAGATACCGGGGCTGTAAGAGTAGTACACTACATGAACACGTGTCTACATGTCAGCACACTAGATGAAGAGATGCATCAAGCCATCAAGGACCACTTTGCAATCGAGGCGCTTGGCGTGCAACCACGAAGACCACCACAGATTCAAAAGGAAGATCTACTACAGTCACTCTTCGGGATACTATTAAGGTTTCGAAAGGGCCCGCTAGCTGTGGCAGCCGACATCAGAGAAATGTTTCTTCAAGTTCGCATTCGACCAGAAGACAGAGATAGCCTGAGGTTTTTGTGGCGCGGGGCTCGTCGCAGTGCCTCCGAAGAAGTACAGGATGACATCAGTTATCTTCGGCGCAACATCATCTCCGAGCACCGCAATCTATGTAAAGAACCGAAACGCAGCGGACTTCAAAGAGCAGTATCCAGAGGCAGCAAGGGCGGTCGAGCTAAAACATTATATGGACGATTACCTGCACAGCTTCCACTCAGAGAAGGACTTTAGAAAAGTGACGATGCAGGTGGACTTCATAAATAAGAAGGCAGGCTTCGAACTCAGGGGATGGGCGTCAAATCAACCCGAGCTGCTGCAAGACGTGAAGATTGATGCTATTGAGAAGACAGAAGTGGTCCTAGGCGAGAAGGAAGAGAAGATACTAGGACTGCGCTGGTTCACGAAAAGGGACTCCATCGGCTTCAGGGCAAACCTCCGAAACACGCCAGAGGAAATAGCAAGGGGAATCAAGGTGCCTACGAAGAGGGAAGTCACCAGTGCAGTAATGTCGACTTTTGACCCACTGGGTTTAACATAACCAGTTCTCATCCAAGGCAAGAAGCTGCTTCAGAACATATGGCGAAGTGGCATCGGTTGGGATGACGAAATAAAAGAAAGGGAGTACGAAGCATGGAAAACCTACCTGGAGAAGATGATGCTGCTCCAGGGCCTGCAAGTTCCAAAGTTGCAAATCAAAGAGATGCCTGGCGCCACATTGCACCGAGGGGGGAGCTACACACTTTCGTTGATGCGAGCGAGCTGGCGTACGCAGCGGCAGTTTATTGGAGAACAGAAGGTCAAGATGGGACTTACTACGTCAGCTTAGTGGCAGCAAAGGCGAGTGTCACTCCACTGAAGCCAGTGTCCATCCCGAGACTCGAACTACAGACAGCCTCCTAGGAAGCAGACTGGCTCATTCAGCGGAAGAGGAATTGGACCTGAAAGTAACAAAGAAAACATTTTGGACAGACTCCAGCATTGTACTTTCCTGGATAAAAACAGACCCGAGAACCTTCAAGACGTTCGTGGCGGAGATAGAGGACCTCATCAAACCGCAAGACTGGAGATGGGTGCCTACAGCGCAGAATCCTGCAGATGACGCAACGCGCGACGTACCAGAAGACTTCGACTGCAACCACCGATGGTACACCGGACCAAGCTTCCTGAAAAAAGAAGAGGCACATTGGCCGGCACCAAGAACCTTCAAGAAAACAACCACCGGCGAAGAAAAGGCAGCGGATGTCGCAGCAACAGCACAAAGAAAAGGGACGAAGACTGTAGAGAAGCAAACACAGATCTTCGAAAATAATAGAAAGGAGATACATACCGCTGGACAACGAACTACTTGAGCAAGCTGAAACTCTTTTGCTGAAAAGAAGCCAAGGCAACAGTTTCAGTGAAGACATCAAGTGCAATTAGCAAACAATTAGGAGTAAATTGAAAAGGCTTGAAGTAGTACTAGAAAACAGTCTCCTGCGGCTAAAAGGAAGAATCGACGCGATACAGGGTGTGACCAGGGACTACAAACGACCCATCGTGCCCGACAGCAAGGACAAGACAACACAACTCATCATAGAAGAATTCCACTGCCGCTTCAATCATGGAAATCACGCAACGGTGATGAATGAAATACGACAACGCTTCTGGCTACTCGGTCTAAGGTCATCAATCAAGGCGGTTCAGCATCAATGTCAATGGTGCAAAACAAAGAAAGCACGACCGCAAGAAATGCCAACAGGAAAATTACCGGCGAAAAGGCTGATGCACGGATATCCTCCTTTTACGTGCACGGGCGTGGACTACTTCGGCCCGATGACAATCGCCGTGTCAAGACGGCACGAAAAGAAATGGGGAGCTATATTTACATGCCTCACAACAAGGGATGTATACATTGAGCTAACTCCTTTGCTCTCCACCGACAGCATGATCATGGCACTACGACGATTTGCCGCAAGAAGAGGGATGCCTAAGAAAATCTACAGCGACAACGGGATCAATTTCGTCGACGCCAACAAAGAAATTAAAGAAGCGTTCGACACCTTGCAGCAAGAAGACCTCACCTCAGAAGCAGAGAAGATCGGCGTGCAATGGAAATTCATCCCTCCAGGTGCGCCAAATGGGTGGCGCATGGGAACGCTTTGGTGCGATCAGTCAAGACCGCACTAGACGCTACACTTAACGAAAAATATCCACGAGAGGAGGTACTCCACACTCTCCTCCTAGAGGCCGAGCACATAGTCAACTCTCGACCTCTCACACACCTCTCTGAGAACCTTGAAGAAGAAGCACTAACACTGAACCACTTCCTCATCGGGCGGTCCTGCGGCGCAGCGAGAATCGGCAGCTTCGACGACAGCGAACTCGTGGGCAGCTCTACATGGAAGCCACGCAGCGGCTTGCCGACGATTTCTGGCAACGTTGGCTGCGAGAATATCTACCCACTCTTTTGCCATGGAAGACGAAGGCAAGAACCAGCGCCACAGACGTGCAAGTTGGAGACATCGCGCTGATCGTCGACCATAGCCTACCAAGATGCACCTGACCACGCGGCAGAATCTTCCAAGTGTATCCCGGACCCGATGGGCGAACAAGGATCGTCGACGTCGAGACGCGCGGAAGTGTGCTGAGAAGACCCAGTTCAAGAGTAGTGCTGCTGGTGCCGGGTCTATCGCCGAGCCAGGAGGATGGTGCGACGCACGAGGGGGGAGAATGTCGGCGACAAGGCATATAATTAACCAGTGACAAACGTGTGTTTTGTTCATAAGACTATTATAATTTCCTAATTAGTGTAATTAGCGTGTAACAACTCATATTAGAATATAATTTATAAGGGCTAGCTTTTAATAATAATTTTATAAGGAAGTTTTTAAGCGAAAATTTGTATTGAAAATACTTATAAAAAATTTAAGTTTTGTTTAGCGCTTGGAAATTAGTGTTTAAAGGTTTAAATGTAATGTAATATAAACAAAAAGAACTAAGTAGATCAGACATCTGTTTCGATAAATATAAGATAAAATGTATAGTAAATTAACAATTTTGTAGGGTTTTTGTTCTAGAAATTTTATATTTAAGAAATTAATTTTATTTTATATTATAGAACAGTACTAGAGAAATCTAACGATGTATAAATTGTAAGGGCTATGTGAAAGTTATAATAAATAAAGGATCCTAAGGTTTCGGCTTGAAATAAAAACAACACGCGAGACAGGCAAAACCGCGTAAGCGTCCGTACGGTAACGCCGGCGGGTATAAGGGTCGAGCCAATTTCCAGCCGTCGAAGAGGCAACAACAAGGAAAGCCGAAACCTAAGGAACAAGAAGCTACCTAGGAAAAAAGTGTTTTAATTGCCTCCTCCCGGCTACCCGTCTATCTCTCTCTCGAGGTCCCAATTGGGTCGTACTATACATACGCATTCATGGGTGCGAGGGACGTGCGTCACCACCACTAAGCAAGGAACGTATGTCATCAAGTGGGAGATTGTCCCAGGGCGACTGTGCGGGCACTAGACTGGACTTAAAAAGGATGTGAGTGCGAAAGAGGAGGCAAGGGTAATATCGCAGGTTTGCGTTGAATTGTCACCTATGATAATATAATATATCTTAATTTCGTGATGGTTTGAAGGAGTTAACGTACATATGTCCGGCCGATCACCTATGACATAATTCTATTCATAAGTCATAATACTATTCAACGGCTAGACGACATGTCCTCGATATAATATCATTATTGTTTTGCAATATCAAATTCGGCTCGGGCTCTACTAAAGCAGAGACGAGACGAGATGAGAGGAGATGTGTAGAATTTCGAATTAGCGGCGGCTGTGAGCTGTGCCTCGCAAGCTAGCGGTGGCTGTGAGCTGTGCCTCGCAAGCTAGCGGCAGCTGTGAGCTGTGCCTCGCAAGCTAGCGGCGGCTGTGAGCTGTGCCTCGCAAGCATGCGGCCGCAGTGAGCTGTGCCTCGCAAGCTAGCGGCAACTGTGAGCTGTGCCTCGCAAGCTAGCGGCAGCGCGCACTGGAAACGAGAAGAGATGTAAGTAGCGTGCAGTGTGACTTCAGACTCTAGTTCTTCTACTTCAAGTAAAATAAGTTTTTGTAATATTGACATGACTGAGACATCTGCATTTCGTGTCAGATCGCGCTAAGCTGCGCGTTCATTTCAACATCGAAATACTATCTATCAATAGAGTTGAGAAAGTGGTTAGTGTGCTGATTAAACAACTTTGTTAAATACCAGCGACCCGCCCCGGCTTCACCTGTGATGTTCTGGGCCAGATCACTCCAGGCATTGCTCTCTATCTGCTCGTGAGGTTTCATTACAATTAGTTCAGCCATTTCGAAGGTAAGCCCGGACAGACAGACCGACAAAAAATTGCAAATGATTATCCATGTCCTATAGCAACCAAATAACCTCCTGAGCTTGTTAAAAAGTATTGTTTAATATTACAAACAGAATCTTCAATTTTATTTATATGTAAGTATACTAATTGTAATTGTAACCTATTTGCAATTTGTTTTTTTTTGGTTGTTTTATTATTATTTTATTATATAAGCTTTTAATATATTTAGAAGCGCAAAAAGATCGAAATGATGAGTGATGACTTAGCTTAACCGAATGTTGTTTTATTACATTTACATTTCACAAGAGATAGAAACGATGAGAATTATATTCAATATTGAATAATTCATTCCAATAATTATTCCTGCTCCAAATTACACCAGACACAGCCGTTTAGAACGTACAACTTGTGGACAATTTAGACGTTGTAATTTGGATTATTTGAATATTTAACTGTGAATATCAAGACGTTGATGTTTAAAGCTACGTTATGCTGTTAAAATGGCACCGAATAATTAAGAACGTATTAGCAATTTTTGGTATTAATACGGTTAGCTTCGCTGTAAAAAAATTGAGGAAAATTGATGTATCAGTTAATAACGAAGTATTTATTGCCGATGTAGTGATGAACATATAATAAAATACAGCCTTACCTATGATTGCTTATGTTCAGAGTTAGATCCACCGTGATCTAGGGTAGGCATAGTACAGGCTATAATTAACGTTAGTAATATAATTAGTGTTACCATTCTAACAAGCTCTGACAGTACTTGTAACAAACACCTCAAACAACTCTACGGCGGCGGACCGTAAGTCAGAATCTACATCACCTGAAGATGCCTCGTGTAGAGGTGAAACACGTGTCATATTGTCGTCGATGGTGTGTCTCTCCTGGAATAGTGGTGTTGGGAGTAGTTGTATTGGGAGTAGTGGTGCTGGGATCAGTGGTGACGGGATTAGTGCACGCAATTGAGGGAGGGCTGGGGGTACTTCTTACTTCAATCCAGGTAAGACACATCATTGTATTTAATTAAGCGGATGGTTGCAAATTAAATATTAACATCTTTATTATAATGAATTTCCGCAAAGTAACGCCTGATTCTATCAAACACCTCTGTCTGGCTGTATATAAATGAGGACTGTTTTATGTAGATGGTTTTGAAGTTGGCAATATTAGGTATATTGTAATTGTTAAGCACACAGCGACCTAAATACCGACGCCCACTGACCTCTATTCATACAAGTGTATATATAGAGGTCAGTGCCGACGCCTAATGTAAAAACAAACGTAAAAAAGTTTTTGAGATTATCGTATAGCGTGTGTATTATCACTAAAACATCTGAAGCAATATTTTAAAAATTACATTATTTTTCATATTATTTTCTAAATTTTTCGAAAAAATGTTTCAAATTTTAAATAAAATGACTTCGATGTTTATTAATAGTGACAAAGAAAATGATTTTGTGGCCGCGAAAGGAAAAGGGGAGATCTCCCACCGGGCAAGGTGTTCTGCCCGGGGAGCGGCCAACACTCCGTGTGATAGTTCGGAGATGTTCTATATATGCTGTTTATGATTCGGAATGTTGATAGCGTGATTTAGGCTTCGGTATGTTTCGCTTGCGGCGCGGACAGCGCTGCCACAATTTCATATCAATCTGCGTAAGAAGTCACAAAACTTTTCGACTGCTAAAGGTGATACAAAATAAATTTTCTTATTACTGCAATTAGCTGCCACTCAGAATTGCTTAATTCATTAAAATTCCTAAAAACCGAACAAAGAAAATGGCAGTGGTTGTAGTTTGTAAATTTCTAGCTTCCCGCAGAGGCATTACATGTTAGTCTTTACGGGTGACAACACATCTGCATTTTAATTCGTTACCGAGGATAGATGTAGATATCTATGGGCCACAGCAACCACTTACCATCACGTGGACTGTGTGCTCGTTTGTAACCCCTATCTTATAAAAGGAGGGGCCATCGGAATGCTTTTTCAAATATCGGCGGCTCCATCAGCGCCGACCACCCCGCGGTGGCTCCTCCTCATAAGAGTACAACTCCTTTGAAGTGGACAACTCTTTGGGAGATGACAACTCCTCTAGTGTCTTCGGATGAAGACAATACGGAATTAAGGAAAAGTGAAATTCCTTCATCCTACTCAGAGAGACCGAAATTCAAGGTGCGATTTTTTCCGTTGCATTCAGCTCTATTTGCGCAACGGACTTTCCAGTAGGAGGCCTACTTGTGAAGGGTGGTAATAGTAATGATGAACTATTTTAAATGATCTGTTTTTGTGATTGGCTACCAGGGAAATAAGGCATGGTCTTTGTCGACCGTTATTGGTAAAATAATCCTAAATAAAAAGGAAAATATTTTAGATATAAATTTTCTGGAGGATCCGTTACTAGCATGTAACATTTTAGTTTTATCCTTTTATACAGTAGCGGCGTAAGAAAATCCACTACTCCATATCATCTCGTGGGTTTCATAAAATGCTACTAAGAGAAACTGGAGCAGGATATTGGTAGCAGTATCTTCCTCAAAACTATTCAAAATAATTTAAAAAAAAACTTCTATTAGGGACCCACATACTAAGCGTGGCAGATATGGCAAATACCTTCCCTAGGAGGCAAACTATGAAGAGGTCTATGTTAATCCGTGGACTTTGATATGCAGCCTGAAGATGACGAGTCATTAATTGAATACAGCAAGTTATTTTTTGAGTTTTTTATTCTTAGAAGGACAATGTATAACAGCAGAGATATAATAGTTGAATACTAAAATGGCCGTTGAGCGACAGCAATGTAAGGTATTTAAGGGAATAGACAAGCGTATTTACCTTCTACCATTTAAGAATTTTTATAAAAGTTAAGTATTTAAGGCGAAGAAAAAATTGTCTAATAACTTACCTATCATTTCAATTTTAAAATTTTAACATTGACTTCTGAATCTGTACTTTCATTATTTATGCAGTGTTTATTTTTATATTTTATTATAGCAGTGTTAGCTCAAGGTCTACGCGCTCGGGTTCAATTCCCGCCCAATAAAGTTGTAATTTGAAATTTAAAGTGCTTATTACTACGTGAAATTCGGCAAATAAAAAAATTGTGAGGAAATATGCTTATCTGAAAACTCTATCTGAAATAAGAAGAGTACTGTGCCTTTATCAGATTGTTTTATTAAAAAAATATTGTAATTAGTTAAAAGATAGCTCCTGGTATCTCAGGTGCTAAGAGAGCCGTAGTAGCTCAGAGGCTAAATGCTCGCTGTAAATTTTACAGCACCTACGCGAGCAACCCGGGTTTGATTCCCGCCGCACCGATAATTGCAATTTTAAGCGCTGATTTACCACGTGCTCGGTGGTGAAGGAAAATATTGTAAGGAAACCTGCATGTCTGAGAAATAAGAAAATTTTTTTTTCGAAGATATGTGAAGTTCGGCTACATGCTTTGGGACAGCGCGTCGGACACTTCCTTGTTCTAAAAACCCTCTCAGAAATGAGAGGAGGCCTGTGCCCAGCAGTGGGACGTATTTAGGCTGCAAGTTTAAATTTAAAAGATGAGAAATTGTTTAAAATGAAAGGATTTAGGTTAATATTTAAATTTAGTTTTATAAATCTTAAATAATGCGTTAAAAATTCTCATCTTAAAATAAGTACGCCTATTTAACTACTTTTATTCGTAATATTCGTGACTAAGGGACTTGACAGGAAACAAAAACGTTGAGCATATTTTTCCACAGAATACTCCGCAGTATATCACCGCTTTGTGAACTTGAATTGAAAGGATTTATCGACATTTAGCCGGGGATAATATTTTCAGAAATATCACTACATTTTTAAATAAAAGCTTAATATATTAATTTGGATACACCATGTGATAGGACTTCTTTTCTGGCTAGGAATCTTCTTATAGAGATAGATTTATAGAGATCCAGTATAATTACCGGCTGTGAGGAATTCCAACTTATTCTACAGTGATGACAACGTTGTTGTCAAATATTTTAAATCTTTATCAAAAGTATATAGTTTGTTGTTGTGTTGTGTAAAGATATTATTTTCTCCTTCTTTTAATTCTTCTATACTGTCTTATTCTCTTATTTAATCTTATTTAATTGTCATTTGAGAAAAAAAATGCTATAAAGGGGCTTCGAGGAATTAACTAATTTAAGAATGATTTATCGACAACAACCTATAAAACTCCACTGTTGAACATAGCCTCCCCTACGGTCTGACTCATAGGGAAATATTTGTCATAGTTGCAACGCATAAGCTTAGAAAATACCAAACATTACTACAAAATAAAACTAAAAACAAAAAAAAACACAATCACATTCCCATTCTCACCAAAAAACCCCACCTCCCCTCCCCAATATGCACTAATACAATAACTCACCCTTTTACACTCTTGCTTGTTATTTTGCTTTGCTATACTAGGTAATCTGTGTAGGACTCTAATCATTTTAAATTATTGTAAAATTTATCCGTTTTGTTATTTTTATTTAAGAATATAAATGAAAAGTTCATTCATTATACAGTCTCGATTATGATCAATGGGAATAACTACCGCAAACTTCGTTCCCTCACTCATTATTTATCCTCACACTTCAACACTGCGGACGTAAATTTTTCATGCAAATATAATAAGGGTCTAGGAGCGCGCCGTGCCTTTTCTAGAAGAGAATTTAATAAAGGCTCTAGTTCACATAAATTTTGAAGTCGTAATTATTTTCAATGTAGGTAGTTCACTTTATTATTAAGTTAAAATTATGC